GTCCACCTCCCCAATCCCCCTCCCACCTGCCTCGCCCCTCCCAGGTTTGGCCAAGGCCAGGTGTGGAAGCGCCACAGGGCAATGAACATTTTCCATTTCCACAGCACTTTTCCTCCCCAAGCTAGAACCCCAGTGAAATGCAGCCACCTCTGGGGTGGTGGCCACAGAGCCTACAGCACGAGAGCAGTGGAGCGGGCCCATGACGGGGCAAGAGGCCAAGGGCATCCATGCGGCAGGGGCAAGCAGAGAGACACTAACGCGGAGGATGAACGTGGGGCTTTGGAGCCCGCAGTGATCTCTGTGCTGCTGGATGTCGCGTTCCAAGCTGCACGTGCTTCCCATGCAGGCTCCTCCGTCACCGCCCCATCTTCATCCAAGCCCCGGGCAGCTTCACAAGGAGGATCCCCCCCAGATACAAAGAACTGAAAGGCTCCAGGCCAGGACTGCGGCAAAACCTACCCACAAACCTTACAGTCCTGCGCAGGAAGGAGTTGAAGTTGCAACCGCCGGCGTTGATGCTCCCCTCCGACCCACTGCGCCCCTTCAGCTTGGACTGCAGGCAGTAGATGATGCCTTCCCCGACCATGATCTGGGGGAAGAGCAGAACTCAGTGTGGGCCACACAGGCTTGTTGGCAAGTCAGAGCGAGGTGTATAAATGTAGACGTTTTGGCACAGGGGCAGGTCCTACCCTCTCCCAGCAGGGGGCGCTGTAGGGAGCGGGGCAGGAGCGCTGGCAAGAGGTGGGGGGGGAGCTCCCAGGTACTCCAGTCCTGACCTCTCCCAGCAGGGGGCGCTGTAGGGAGCGGGGCAGGAGCGCTGGCGGGGAGCTCCCAACTACTCCAGTCCCAACACAACACACATTCCTCTCCCGCACACCCTACCATTGCCCTGTCATACCAGGTGGCTGGTGTACAGGGGCCCCGAAACCTGGCCCAGCTTTGCATTGTCTCTGCAAGAGCCCCAGGTGCCGGGGCTGCTCTGGGGCAGGGGGCATCGGGGCGGAGGGGCCTTTGAAGAAGGGGCACAAGTTAGGGCTGCCATAGCCTGTGCCTGGGGCTGTACGGGCCCCTGCGGTCTCTGAAGAAGACCCACTCTCCAGAAGGTCCCTCCAGGCCTCTCCCTTCCCTCGCCCCCTTGTCACAGCCCTCCCGGCCCATGCGGAAAGAGAAGCCCCCCCCGGCTTGGTGCCGGCTACGTACCGAGGCGGCAGGAGCAGCGAAGGCCAGGCTGAGAAGCATCAGCAGAGGAATCATCTCCTCATTGGTCTCCACGTAAGGCATGGACAGGGCCCGGTCGTAGCACTGGAAACCCACCTTGGCTGGCTTGAAGAGGTCGGTCAGCTCCAGGAAATACAGCGTCACGATGGAGGAAGCCACGATCGGGAGCTGGGCGAGGGGCAGGAAGGAAGCAAGCGAAGAGGTGAGTCAGGAGGAGCATGGTCAGGTGGGCTCAGTTTCATCCCCCTGCCACGCTACAGACCTGCCTTCGAGGGCCTCAGGGCAAAATCACCCTCTAAGGCAAGTCAGGGGTGTCCCTGTAGTCAGTAGACACCACTCCCTTTTCTGGAGCTGGGAATAGAACCCAGGAGTCCTGACTCCCAGTCACCCCCACAA